TCCTCAATGTGCCAATATCTCTGGATCCCTGAATGGTGCCCATGCCAATAGGCCTGGTTCCCAAAGGTGCCAAAAGCTCTGGTTCCCCAATGTGCCAATAGCTCTGGTTTCCCAATGTGCCAATAGCTCTGGTTCCCCAATGTGCCAATAGCTCTGGTTTCCCAATGTGCCAATAGCTCTGGTTCCCTGATTGGTGCCCATGCCAATAGGTCTGGCTCCCCAATGTGCCAATACATGTAGCGCTGGATCCCTGAATGGTGACAATGCCATAAGATCTGATTTCCTAGTGTAGCTAATAGCACTGGATCCCCTAATGGTGGCCATGCCAGTATCACTGGACTTAGCCAGGTCAGGATTTAGTCACTACATATTTGGTTCATGCCTCTTTGGTATTTCAGAAATTGTCACAGTCACAGTCTCATTGTTATCTTGTCTTATCTGTCAGTCAGTCTGTCATGCCCTTCCAATTTATCACCAGTACAATCATAAAGTTGGATCTCAGGGGACCCATAAGTAGACAAGTATTATGAAATATGATGCTCATCTGATGTCACATAAATAGCCGCAAAACCATGCAGAGTAAAATTCACCATATTCATTCTTAATCAATCTTTAAGATTTTACATAATTTACATATTTGTACTTTCCGCATTTGAACACTGTGTCAAGTGATGTTATTTTCGTTACCGTAATTGATTCAACTATTTTTTTGTTTGTTTAAAGGGCGGTAATATCATACAGCTCATGTTTAAATTTAACCACTAAAGTTTAACTTGCGTGTTATAAGTGATAGTGTTAGGAATACCATATTTGCTCTGTTTGATGTGTACATAAACCACAAATTACATTTATTGTATGCTAGGTTGTTACTTACTGTAAATTTTTTATCTTTCGCTATTTTTGCTGAAGGGATGATTCAGTGAAAAAAAAAATCCAGCAAATATTCTTTTTTCTCTATATTCAACTCATCAAAAATAAATTCCATACAAATCACCCAAATAGTCTGTTCTAGAAAATAATTTCTAGTATTTTGACCATTCACGTGTCATTTACATTATAAGCACATGTGCTACTCTAGAGATAATATGGGATGTGTCTGGTTCCCCAATGTGCCAATTTGATGTGTACATAAACCACAAAAGACATTTATTGTATGCTAGATTGTTACTTACTGTAAAATATTATATTTTTCGCTATTTTTGCTAAAGGGATGATTCAGTGAAAAACAAAAATCCAGCAAATATACCTTTTTCTTTATATTCAACTCATCAAAAATAAACTTGATACAAATCACCTAGTCTTTTCTAGAAAATAATTTCTAATATTTTTACCAGGCATGTGTCATTTACATAAGCACATGTGTTATTCTAGAGATGATATGGAATGTCTCATGCTCACGTACTAAATTTCAAAACTATATCTTCAAATATGCTGTCATGAAACAGATTCATTTTATTAACCACTCATCACTGGAAACGTTTGGGTGATGGTAAATTTATTTTTAACTTTGTTAGCCTTCCAGGGTCTGGATATGGGAGTGTTGAACTGCAGTTCAGTATTGTAGCCTAGGGATAAACATGAGCTCCATGCTGTACATAAATATGAATTCACAGCTCATGAATTTTTTCCCAACGCACCAGGTGATTATTTTGACCTACATGTGTAAACGGTATGTAGAGGTAATATCCTTGATTAACTACCACTTGGGCTGAGAAATATTTGAGGTGATTCACCGAGGTCACTATGTCAGACACGATACTAAACATAAACACAGGCAGGCAGTATATAACATGTCCTCCAATGTGTTGGCTAACTGCTGGAGGGGGTGGATCTTACACAAACAATACAATTTTAGTGAAAAGCTGTTTTATTGATAGGTCGGTAGACATTGACATGCTTGACAAACATCACCGTTGTTGATCAGTCATGCATGGGCGTAAAGCTATTATTGATCTTGATTCCCGACGATGTTGAGTGGTCCACTTGAATCGTCTTTGTTCCTAGCTGCTTCATAAAATATCTCTTCATTTTAAAATTCTCCATATTTTGTATCTAATCTGGTCTTATCAAATTAAACATTGTAATGGTTTGAACTTTTTATCAAAATGAACCTTTCTAACGAACCCAGCGCTTGTCGTAACATGTACATTGTATCCCATATCATGTTACAATCATTACTTCATGTAAACAAACTATTTTTTTTTTTGGTACCTGTCCTATTTATTCAGCAATCAGTCCAGTGGTAATTTGACTGTTTTGCTCTGTACCGGCAACCCCCTTCCTTGTACATGCCAGTCTAGCTCCGTGTATTGTTTGCAGTACATTGTATTGTGCATTGACTGTGTACATATACTGTGATGTTCAGTCAGCTACCAAAACATATTTCCCTAAATGCTGAAATCCTTATAATCTTTGATTGGAAATAGATAGAATAAGGGTATAATTATAATTACAGGAATACTGCAAAATAATGACATAGTTATAGTTATATTTACCTCAGCTATACATAATTACAAGAGTACTGCAAAATAATGACATACATATAGTTATATTGAACTCTGCTATACATAATTACAAGAATACTGCAAAATAATGACATACATGTAGTTATATTGACCTCTGCTATACATAATTACAAGAGTACTGCAAAATAATGACATACATGTAGTTATATTGACCTCAGCTATACATAATTACAAGAGTACTGCAAAATAATGACATACATATACTTATATTGAACTCTGCTATACATAATTACAAGAATACTGCAAAATAATGACATACATGTTGTTATATTGACCTCTGCTATACATAATTACAAGAATACTGCAAAATAATGACATACATGTAGTTATATTGACCTCTGCTATACATAATTACAAGAGTACTGCAAAATAATGACATACATGTAGTTATATTGACCTCAGCTATACATAATTACAAGAGTACTGCAAAATAATGACATACATGTAGTTATATTGACCTCTGCTATACATAATTACAAGAATACTGCAAAATAATGACATACATGTAGTTATATTGACCTCTGCTATACATAATTACAAGAGTACTGCGAAATAATGACATACATGTAGTTATATTGACCTCTGCCATACATAATTACAAGAATACTGCAAAATAATGACATACACGTAGTTATATTGACCTCTGCTATACATAATTATAAGAATACTGCAAAATAATTTCAAATATAGAACGATTACGCGCGTAAGCATTCTCTAATAAAATAACAACTCAGACATAATGTAGTCGCATCGACCTCCGCTGCGTGTCGGTCGATACTCCCACTGTACTGTTTTCGTTCATGCTTTGCAGTATCGTCATAATAACCTGGTATTCTAAAGATCCAGTGTACCATATATGCAATTTTTAGCGTATGTGCACTTCTGTTAGGTATATGCTTCTAATAAATCAAAACAAGGACATGATTAGTTAGTCAGGGAATCTGTACTAGACTCTGAGCCTCAGTGAGTTGATAGTATTAAAAGGAGTCTTTTTTGTAATTAAGTAAAATAACCATTTTAACACTAAGTTTATGTTTAATTCATATAAAACAGGTTTCTCGTTTTGTTTTAATAATTCATCAACATTTACTGCTGCATTTGTCGTTGTTAAGAGATTTTGAAATTACAGCCCTAATATACATGTAGTATGTAGCACTACGTTTAGATGATTTCATGTCTTACTCTCTTAGGTATAAGAACTTATGCATATCAGGAAAACTATACACGCTGTCACATGCTGTGAAGTAACTACAATGGCATTATTGATAGTACTCATAGCAGTATAGTACTTAATATCTACCGGACACATCTGCAAGCTGAACAATTCGTTGTCATTCTGTAAACACAGATGAAACATTAAATGGTTATATTTGTTTGTATTTGAGTCACTCTAGTATGCATTCTGCCCAACAGCATTTTCAAAGATTTATGACCAAACACTTTTATAAACAGTGCAGTGGTTCATGGATGTTAAACAGCAGCCCATGTATTGTGTTATATCAAGGCTTTGTCAGATTAGGGTACTGTAAAATACTTTATTTTAGCTGGAATTAATTTTCGCTGAAAAGTCTTTTTGGGTGTTTTGTATGGAATTTATTTTAACTGATTTTTGACAAGTTGAATGTAAAATATAAGAAAAAAGGTATATTTGTTGGACTTTATTTTCAGTGAATTATTCCTTCAGCAAAAATTAATTTGAAGTGAAAATAAAGTATTTTACAGTATCCAAATTTTATGTATGTTGATATGCGATGAAGCAAACTCTCATAATTTGAAAGTGTCACGGAATGCAGTGGGTGCTTTGAAAGGTTTGATTGCACAAGCAGAAATTATGCGACAGACAGCCATAGTGTGTCATTGTTTACAAACAAGCATCTACCCATCGTCCTTTGCATTTATAGCATGCGTTGTTATCATCGATCACAACTCAATTCCCGCATGTTCGCGAGTGACAACTTCCCCGCTTTAACGTCTTACATGTTTATATTCCCACATTCAAAAACACTGATCAGCTCTTTTGCAGACTCGCCAATTTGAATAAAATTTCTAGAAATCTTGGTTTATCATGTGATTATCTCGCATTCGTATGAGAACTTGATCACATATCACACCGTTGCATACCTTCATCTTAACAATCCTTGGTTATATCTAATTATAAAAAATTACCAGCCGTATTTTTTATAAAGACAAAAACCCCAAAAAAACATGTAATACACTACAAATACTTCATGTAGGATTGACACTAGAAAAACCTGCCTGAGACAAACACTAACCCCCCCCCCCCAAATAAAACTGATACACCCCTTTGCATTAGTATATCTAGGAATGTATACAATCTTGTAATTCTCATGATTTCAAACATGGTCTTTATCACATATCTTACCTTATGAAGTGACGTACCCTTAATAAGTACATGTGTAAGTGACCTTGATGATAAATATCAACCACTAAATATTTATGATTCTATTTTTTCAGATGGAGCGTCAAATCCGCTTGGTGGAGGTCAATGCGCATATCACTTGCAGGATTTGCCATGGTTACTTTATCGATGCTACCACCATCACGGAATGTTTGCATACATGTGAGTAACTCAGAAATATAATGCAACTTATTTAATAATATATTTTAATTCTCAGTAGTGTGTCTGTAAAATTCGGCTGGAAGCATACACTTCGAACTTCCAGACTTGGTGCACTTCATGTTAAACAATATGAAATAAAATGTGCCTCCATGTGTTTTATCCAAAAAAGAAAAAACAAAATTTCCTGGTTGTAAATAGACAATTTAAGAATCTGTATTCATGCATGCACGTTTTTTGTCAAAGATAAATTAACTTCTTGTGAAATCTTCATTGCTTCAATATATTTTACGGAAGTCGCTACGACTTCCTGTCTTAAGGACGCCACTGAAATCTTTACTCCTACAATACTTCACAGAAGTCACTGTGACTCCCTGTCCTTAAAGACTCCATCCTAAGGATCCCAGTGAAATCTTTACTACAATATTGCACAGAATTTACAGTGACTTTGTCTTAAGGGTCTTTGTGAAATTTCTACTTCTACAATAGTTCATGATAGAAATTTCTCTCTCATGTGAAATTAAAACGATACATAAATTATATACATTTTGCTGATGAGAAGATTAGGATACAATTTGAAACTAAAGAGATGTTGTGTCTGAGTCCTGATGCTACATGTATGCCAATTGTTGTAATTACAGCTAAGCAACCATATCTCAAATTTGCATGGTACGTGTCTGAGCATATAATAATCCCCAGCACTAAACGAACACGACCTGTTCACATGCTTCCACACAAAAACATCAGTGTAAGATTGTCATAGATTTTTCTTTGACCAGTGAGACTCAATTTGGCATTACGGGTTTATTTGGAGGAAAATATTGAGAAAGGTCTAATCAAAATCATCAACGCCCGATTTGGAGATTTAATGTCAGGTGATTGTTCATTGACAACTATCTGTTCTTTCAAATTGATCTTGTTATCTCTGGTTCTCTTTCAATTTATTCGGTTCGGTGAAGACATTGTATCGCGTCAAAGTATTCTCTTTGTGTCAGGAGTTCACATTCTCAATGAATATTGTTGTTGATGTCTAAAAGGAATCGTGTGACAAGCTGATGCATTCGTACTTGACTTCTACTGTGAAAATTCAACCATGTCTCTGACAAGGTGTCCAGAACAGTTTAGTGATACTGATTGTTTGTGAAAGTTTACTTGAATAGAAGTGCATTGCAGTGAAAAATTAACCTAAAGGCGAGCCATTTACAAGTTGGGTGGATTAACACTTTCAGTGCTATTCTGTTGTATAATTTTTATCTAGTATACTTTTTTATGAATAGACAAAAGTTGACTTTTGGACTCAAAGGGCTAAATTGCCTTCACAATTAACATTCTTAATCCAAATTTTGTTTCTCATACATCCATTATTAAAGCATTATTCTATTCTATTCTATTCTATTCCATTCTATTCTATCACAGATTTATTCAAATCAAAGTGCTATGTAAGATTAACCAGTAAGGTTGCTGTACACAGTAAATGATGTGCGAATTCAAATTATTTCCCATGATGCATTTGTACAATCTGAGGGATTGTAGAACCAATCTTTAAAGTTGAATCATTTGCTAAAATATTTGAAAGTCTTTAACATTAGCAGTAAAATGAACCATTAACTAAAATTAGTGGTTGCAGTATAGATCAAAACTTGCTTATCTATTGTGTTAATGCTACGCTAATATCATATCGTGTTATGACCGTTCCAACTCTGTTTATGAAAACGGCTCATTAACTTTGAGATGAGAAGTACTACAGGAATATTTCAAAACATGGACGCCACAGCGTGGTTCCGTAACAAGTTATGTTTTGATAATGAGCAGTGTCATGCTTCAAATCAGCTTGAAACATTGACTGCTCAAAAAGTCACTGAATCCAATAAAATGTTCACTGCTTCAAAAGTCAGTATGGCTTCCTAGAATACCAATAAAAAGTTCAAAAGTTGCTATGACTCCCTAGAATCCCAAAAATATGTTTATTGCTTAAAAAGTCACTTTGACTCCCTAGAATCTCAATTTGTTCACTGCTTCAAAAGTTACTGACTCCCTATTATCTCAATATGTTCACTGCTTCAACAGTTAATGTGACTCTTTCAAATGCCAATAAAATGTCTGTGCTCCTAAAATCACTGACTCCCTAGAATCCTAATAATATTTTCACTGCTTCAAAAGTCACTGACTCCCTAGACTCCCAATATGTTCACTGCTTCAACAGTTAATGTGACTCTTTCAAATGCCAATAAAATTTCTCTGCTCCAAAAATAACTGACTCCCTAGAATCCTAATATTTTCACTGCTTCAAAAGTCACTGACTCCCTAGACTCCCAATATGTTCACTGCTTCAAAAGTTAATATTACTCCTTAGAATGCCAATAAAATGTCTGTGCTCCAAAAATCACTGACTCCCTAGAATCCTAATAATATTTTCACTGCTTCAAAAGTCACTGACTCCCTAGACTCCCAATATGTTCACTGCTTCAACAGTTAATGTGACTCTTTCAAATGCCAATAAAATTTCTCTGCTCCAAAAATCACTGACTCCCTAGAATCCTAATAATATTTTCACTGCTTCAAAAGTCACTGACTCCCTAGACTCCCAATATGTTCACTGCTTCAAAAGTTAATATTACTCCTTAGAATGCCAATAAAATGTCTGTGCTCCAAAAATCACTGACTCCCTAGAATCCCAATAATATGTTCACTGCTTCAAAAGTTAATATTACTCCCTAGAATGCCAATAAAAATCTTGCTCCAAAAATCAGTGACTCCCTAGAATCCCAATAATATGTTCACTGCTTCAAAAGTCACTGTGGCTTCCAAAGTTTGTAATGTTTCCCAACTCAAAACATTTGTCTGTCATGAATATAAAATGGTTTACAATACTTAACACCCCCTGCACCCTCTGATTTCAATAGTTATTTTTTTTCTTTTAGTGAATTGTAAAACTTCTGTAGAAATTTTTAGATGTCTTTGTAGTTTTTAATTTGAAGAATGAATTGTGTATAGTTATCAACTCACAGGACAACTTAAATATTATCATATTTGTGTGGATTCATTTAAAAGCACTCAATTCAAACCATTCTACCCACACAGTGTATTCATATTTGTGTGGTGGATTCATTTAAAATCACTCAATTCAAAGCATTCTACCCACACAGTGTATTCATATTTGTGTGGATTCATTTAAAATCACTCAATTCAAACCATTCTACCCACACAGTGTATTCATTTGTCCATCTGTGAATCCCAGTGCCTACTGGGTATCTGTTAAAGTAGGTGGTTGGAAGCCTATATAGATTTGTCTGCAGGGGTTGCCAGTATGACTGATTAAAGTGGAATATGGCTGTGAGCTGTATTCAGGAGGAGATCACATGCAATCTATAACACAACAGGAGTATTGAAATATGAACTGAGGTGGTATTTGTAATCCAGCAATAGAGCAGGTACTGCAAATCTTATTGTGGACCTTACGGTATAACATTGAAATTAGTATTAATGCATTGTTAGGGTACTAAATATGCATATTTGCATTGTATATCTGTTTTTATATAAAAATTATAATAACATATCTGAGATATAATAACATATGTCGGTAATTTGTCACACAGTCCTCTTCCATTTGTCACACAGTCCTCTTCCATTTGTCACACAGTCCTCTTTCATTTGTCACACAGTCCTCTTCCATTTGTCACACAGTCCTCTTTCATTTGTCACACAGTCCTCTTCCATTTGTCACACAGTCTCCCCTTCCATTTTGCACACAGTCCCCTCTCTCGTTTGACACACTCCCCTGCTTGACAATCTCTCCTGCTTGACACCCCCCACTGACATAGTCCCCTCCCCATTTGACTCAGTCCCCTCTCTCATTTGTCACACAATCTTCCCTCCTATTTGACACAGTCCCATCTCCCAATTGTCACACAGTCTCTCCTCCCATTTCATACACAGTCCCCTCTCTCGTTTGACACACTCCCGTGCTTGACAATCATCCCTGCTTGACACCCCATTGACACAGTCCCCTCCCCATTTGACACAGTCACACAGTCTCCCCTTCCATTTGTCACACTGTCCCCTCTCCCATTTGTTACAGTCCCCTCTCCCATTTGTCACACAATCTCCTCTCCCATTTGTCACACAGTCCCCTCTCCCATTTGTCACACAGTCCCCTCTCCCATTTGTCACACAATCTCCTCTCCCATTTGTCACACAGTCTCTTTCCCCCATTTGTTACGCTCCCCTCTCTAATTTGACACAGTCCCCTCTCCCATTTGTCACACAGTCCCCTCTCTCATTTGTTACAGTCCCCTCTCCCATTTGTCACACAATCTCCTCTCCCATTTGTCACACAATCTCCTCTCCCATTTGTTACAGTCCCCTCTCCCATTTGTCACACAATCTCCTCTCCCATTTGTCACACAGCCTCCTTTCCCATTTGACAAAAAGTCCCCTCTCCCATTTGTCACACAGTCTTTTTCCCCATTTGTTACGCTCCTCTCTCTAATTTGACACAGTCTCCTCTCCCATTTGTCACACAGTCCCCTCTGCCATTTATCTGCTTATTTCTTACAGTCCCCTCTCCATTTTTACACTTCCCTTTCCCCTTACACTCGCTAGGTGTTACATGAAAACTAATCATGATTACTAGTAGCAGAAGCATAGTCACTTTATATCTTGAGATGAAATAAACAACATTCAGTCAACGCATTCAGTTAACACTTCTAAGCATAATTGAGTTTGATGTCACTATTGCTGTTTCTCATCTTCAGTATAGTGGATCTGTATACAGGGTATTCAAGACAATCTAAAAAATTGTAATAAACCTCAAAACATTCCATTCAAATCTGTCAGCAATGAATGCAGATTAATGGATGGAAGTGTGTTTTTTCTTTTGGATATCAGACAAGTTTAAAATGAGCAAACATTTAATAGCAAAAATACAGTAAGGTATTGTTGAATTGTTGACATACCAACAATACAGTCGGGTGTGGCACTGATCTATCACTGGCTGACATTCA